CTCTCTCTCTCTCTCTCTCTCTCTCTCACGCACGCACACACACACAGAGGCACACAAACTCGCACACAGAGACGGACATCGTCAGCAAAGGTTTCATTGTATCCAGTTTTCTCCTTCGCTTGGCTCTGTGGTGGGCCCGGTCATTTTACATCTCGCCTTAACATCATATTTAGCCAGAATGAGAGAGCTCCACACATCGTCTAGTTCCGTTTCGACGGTCACGGGAGAGTATGGATGGAACGAAAGATCAATTTCGCACAGGGTAGATATGACGGAACGGCGCTCATTGTTATGCCTGAGAAGAACCTAGACTGTTCACGACAACGGAAGATACAGAAAGAGTTCGAACACAAACATGTATTTAAATTTTGTAATTACATTTATATCTTGAGTTAACATATTGACGATGTGTGTTGTATTATAAATACATATAATATATACCTATCTATATGTATATATAAACCGATTATATTCTATATATATCGTCAAACAGAGCTGTCCGGTAAACTGTAGGCAGAGAGGGAGAAGAGGACAACAAACGAGCGGCTGTGACAAACTGTTTCGTCGTAGTTTCACCGACTCTCATATATATACACATATATATCGTCACAAACAGAACTGCCCGGTAAACCGTAGGCAGAGAGAGAGAAGTTATATATATAAATATATGACGATATATATATATATCGTCACAAACAGAACTGCCCGGTAATGTATATATGACGATATATACCGGGCATATATAGATATATATATCGTCACGAACAGAACTGCCCGGTAAACCGTAGGCAGAGAGAGAGAAGAGGACAATATATATACTTCTTAGAGAGGGGTAGATGATGCAACAACACTCATGGCTGACGAGTTAAGACGTGTCACAGCAAAAAAATATAATAACATAAAAGATCATTTTTTCCACTTTCGTCGTCATTTTTTAATTTTACCCATTCCACTTCATTCCGTGGAATTCCACTCCTGCTCACATCCACCTTCCCCACTCCGGGATCCACCCGAGCGCTCCTCTCCCCTCGCGCTGAATTTCTCTCCTCTACACCTTTCTCCCCTCCCGCTGAATTTCAGCCAGCCTAATCCACGACCGGCCGTCGACGGCACATTGCAGCGATATAATGCGACGCTCGTTGGCTCCACACGGAGATCGGACACCCAAATTTGTCCTATAACCAGCTATAAACATCATCCCGAATGGAGTAAAGAACAAGAAACAATCCGAGGACTCGCCTCAACCAGCAAGACGCTTCCAGACCACACTCTATCTCATAAGAGCGAGAGAGAGTGTATAAAAGAGAGAGAGAGAGAGAGGGAGAGAGAGAGCGAGCGAGCGAGCGAGCGAGCGAGCGAGAGAGAGAGAGAGAGAGAGAGAGAGAGAGAGAGAGAGAGAGAGAGAGAGAGAGAGAGAGATTTTGACCTGACGGCCCGTACGAGTGACCGCCAGCATCTAATCCTGAACGAAATCAATTAACAAATAACAGCTGATCTGGCAAAACGACAAAACGAGAGCAGCTCCTTCCATATGACATTTTCCATCCTCTTAGTCCGCAGAAGAAGCGAAGCGCCTAGAGGTTATACAACACGTACCCATCCAGAGAGCGCGCATAAAAAAAGTCAAAGCGAACAACAGCGACAACTCCTCCACGTCCTCCTCCTCCTCCTCCTTCTCCTTCTCCTCCTCCTTCTCCTCCTCCTCCTCTGACGCGGCGCATGACCATTCGTCTCCATTGCCGCAAAATTTCCACCATCTTTAAGCTTCTTCCCTCGGAGGCGTGCATTCATGCTTTCCAACCACACACCTCTCCTCCTCTTCCTCCTCCTCCTCCCCCTCCTCTTCCTCCTCCTTCTCCTCCTCCTCGCCCTCGATCATTCGTCTCATGCGGCGCTTCCGCATTCTTCACCATCGCAAGGACAACTCAATTGTGTGCTCCCATGAGCGCCGCCGGGGTATCATCTTCCTCCATATCGAAACCTTGTCCAACTGCGGCCGCGGCGTTGATAAACTCGAGAGCACCTCTTCCCTCCTTGGCGTTCAGGCAGCCAGAGACCAGGTCTGAATTCACAGTGCTGTACGCGTCGAAGGCTTTGTACATAACGCTCAAGCACTGCTGGCCGTAGGTCATCGAGTCCATCGCTATGTTCCTGACTGCCTCGCAGCACAGACCGCTGCTTCCGACGCCACACAGCGCATTCACAGTTGCAAAGGTCTCGGGCTCGAACTCCACTGGGCAGGCGCCCGCCGTGTCCGGGTCGTCAGCATTCTCAGAATCGTCGCCAGTTGCAGTTACCTGCGCGTCTTCAATCTTACCCGCAGCCGCCTGAAGGCAAAGCCACTGACAGGACAAAACCATAACAACGGCAATCAATGCCATAGCCGCCAAGCTAGATCGCGCCATGGTGACGACGGGTGGAGATTGGTTGAAGGTGACGACTTGCTTGGTCTTCGGATGGACTCGCGTGTAGGAACTAACAAGGATGGCGGTTTCTCTCTCTCTCTCTCCTCGTCTCCTTGAAGGAGATAGAAGTACAAGAAGGACCGTCGAGAACGCAATGCGCAAGAGCGGGACTCCGAGGAGAAGGTTCGAGACAGGCCACAGACAAGAGCACCTAGAAGGCTAGAATAAATGTACAGCGCAGGAGCGGTTTCTCTCTCTCTCTCCTTGTCTCTCTCTCTCTCTCTCTCTCTCTGCCTCTCTCGCATCCCTCGTTCAATCCCTAGACCCACTTATATACGTGCATTTGAACGATGTGAAATCCCGCCCTCGGTGAGGTTGCACAAGGTGGAAGTGATTCCCGCCTTCGGTGAGGGTCGTTCCCGCCCTCGGTGAGGGGGCAGCATAGGGGATCGCTGCACTACTCTCGACAGGCACAAAAGACAAAAATCACGGCCGTGCATCGTTCCATATTCTAGTGGAAGATTCACTCTCGTTTTGCACATTTCGAGAGTAGCGCAGTGAGGCCCGTACTCCTGCCTTCGGCGCCGAATTCGTTTTTGTTCCTTTTTTTTTTTTTTAATTCGTTTTTGTTATGAAACATTCGGAACCATTTGTCGGTTTACGCGTGGCAAAAAAAGATTGAAAGGAAATGACGCGTGTCATATTGTATTTTTTTCTTTTCTTTTCTTTTTTTGAGGTATTATCATCGGACTAACCAGCCCAGCTAAGCTTGATCTTGTGTCTATCTAATCTGAAAGGGCGAGTGGGCCGTGTCCCGCTCGGCTAGCTTCAGTTCTGGATTCGATTATGCATGGCTCCCTGCCATCCGATCTGAAAATCGCACGGCCGCAGTGTGAACACACGTTGAAAAATACACGAAATATGAACTAAACCCCCGCTAGTGGGACATGGCCTCGGGTGGCCTTGCTGCCTTCAGGGAACTCCCTGTGGGGGACACCGGTCAGGGCCGCGGGGACCATGCAAAAATGTCCAGTTTTGGGAGAAGAATAAGAAAAAAAAAAAAAAAAAAAAAAAAACCCGAAAATAGATGGGAGCATTGTTCTCAGCTCGTGCCGCTCCCCGCAAATAGATGAGAGCATTGTTTAATTAAAAAAAAAAAAAACGAAGTCGAGTTTTCAAAGCAGTTGGCGCCACAGCAACCAGAGAGACTTCGGGCCATTGCTCCTCTCCTCACCAAATGTGCAAAATTGGAACGAGCCTTCCGCTAGAACATGGAAAGATACACCGCCCTATTTTCTTTTGTCTTTCATGGATTTGGTGAGTACTGGAGCCAAGCCGTGTCTAATGCGTCTTTTGTCGCCGCGCTGGATCAACCGTTGGTCTCTTTTTCTTTTTTCTTCTTTTTTCTAGAGGTATTATCATCAGACTAACCAGCCCAGGTCAATTCAATCTTGTGTCGAATCTGACACTGGATGGCCTTTTCAGCCAGGGGTGGCCTTATTGCCTTCAGCGAACCCCCAATGGGGGATACCGCCCAGGGGACAGCCGGTAGCAGAGGGACCAGGGGACAGGCGGTAGCAGAGGGGAGCGGCCAGTCGCAGTGCCTCCCAGATTACCCCTCCCCCTATGATGGTCAGCAGAGACTGCTTTTTAATGCCAATTGGGGGGACGAACGGGCTATCTCCAGGTGGCGGGTGCCAAGCATGCCCAGGAAGGTACATGATGCAGATGGGGATTGAACCCAGGACCGCCTGAATGCCACTTGTGTGTCTTACCAACTGAGCTAGGCCGCTGGTGTTTTGGTCTCTTTTTAGACCGCAGGCCTCGTACTATCGGCGGCAAACAACGAAAACAAAACGAGCGCATCTGACCACGACAAGTGGCAAATACATGCAGTTACTATTTATAGCAAACCCATGGAGTCAATTTTCGGCGGGAAGCTGCACTGGTTTTGTTTTTCGCTTTGACACCCTGCATACCTGTAGAACATCGTGCAAAGGGAGGGCGCACCGCCAGTTGGTTTTTCCCTTCGTTTTTTTTCCAGAAATGAAATTCCACTCTAGTGGGGTCTAGCCCTCCTACACAGGTTTGTTCGAAATGAATATGAAAATGGTAATCCGTACATGATGCCAGATCGCATATAAGTGAGTCAGAAAAGTGGGCCGCAGGCCCACACACCGCGGGAAAATCGAGGGCGGGGGGGACCGCTTCACCAAAATCAAGGCGAGAGAAAAGGACTCGACCTCTGAAGGACCTGACCCTTGTGTGGCATGCACGCAGGTTTGCGTTCGCAATGAATGCTGCAAGCAATCGAGGCCTGGAAAGCACAACGCGGGAAGGCACACAAGCTATTGTGGCTGGGCAAGCGCCTGTGACTTATACTGTCGCAGGTCAAAGCAGTGGCGCCGCAAGGGCCAGCGAGACCGTACTCCAGCCTGGGTAAGTTTACACATCCTGCTTGGAACCTTCGTGGTGACTGGAGGCCTTAGATTCTGTAGATCAATGGCTTGTGARTAAAGTTCCAATTGATAACGCCCTGGTACCGAGTCCCAACCGTTGTTCTTGATACTCCTGGGTAAGTTKTCACATCCTGCTTGGAACCTTCGTGGTGACAGGAGGCCTTAGATTCTGTAGATCAATGGCTTGTGAGTAAAGTTCCAATTGATAACGCCCTGGTAACGAGTCCCAACCGTTGTTCTTGTTACTCTTGTTGATGTAGGCCAAGGATCGTTTAACTTACTTGTTGAATCTAGTTCGTTGGAGTTTTGTTCAACCGGAAGCATAGTTGCTGGCATAATGCTACACAGGTCTGCTCCAAATAAATATGAAAACGGTAATCCGTAGATGATGCCAGATCGCACAGAAGTGAGTTTGAAAAGTGAGAGAAGGTTAACCGTCCCCCAATTTTCACCGAAAAGTGGGTCGGAGGCCCGCACACCTCCTAAACCACCCGACTCCCTCTATCGTCCCGCAAGTGACGTCGTTGTCTTGCAGGGAATGGTGGAACGAACGACAAAGCGATGGCAGTTGGAGACGAAAGCGTAGTACTCCTGAGTTGAAGGTGGATAAGAGGCTGGTCTTGAGTGGAGGAGTGCCTTGGTAGGAGAGTATGGGGCTGGACGGCGATGGAGAGGTGGGATGAAAAATCCTCTTCTTGCCTTGAATGAGTGGTTGAAGCGCAAGAATGTTGGAAGGGATTGCATGAGCTGCAATGATTTGGATGTCTTGTCCTTCGTCAGCAGCCAGTGGCTTGTCGAAGTAAAGGGTCGGTGTCGAACTTCGGATGCTGAAGGGTTGCTGCTTGTATCTCCGTCCACTGTTAATGCCGTTTTGAATTGCTTGACTGTTTGCTTTCGACTGCTCAGGAGAGATGGTGAAGGAGATTCATGCCAAAGTAGTAGGATACGGGCCTTTCGCAAGGCATATCGAGAGTATTCGTTGCAGAGAGGTGTGATCAAGGAGTGAGCGCGGTCTTTGAGGTGGTTGAAGTTGAAGAGGGTGTTGCAGTATATTAGGGAAAAGGTGAAGGTGCCGAAAGGTTATCCGAAGGCTTAGGCATACCGAGATGGCGGTACATTTCTATATTTGTGGGAAAGTTGGCAGCGATGCGGGGAGGGGTTGCGATTGCAATATAAAGAGATTGACTTTGAGCAGAAGGTTGTGCGGCTTGGGTATACAAAGACTGACCGCCATGGTGGTAGATTTATGATAAGGTTGCGTGAAGCTCAGGGTGGGGAGGAGACGTTCTTAGGTTGGCTTCCTGAATTGCTGAGTAGTTATGATCGGTTGAGTCAAGATATAAGGAGGGGATACTTATTTTGGTGCATGCGAGGTGATGGTCCGGTGAGTGGAGGCGCATTTAACAAACGTATAGAAAAATGGTTTGAGGAGGCGGGGGGGTATGGAAAGTAAAGTGGCCACAACTTTCGCATAGGTGGGGTTCAGGCGGGAATAGAGGAGGGGTGGAGTCTGGATGAGATGATGCGGTAGGGGACTTGGAGTAGTGTTGGGACGTTTATGAGGTATCGTTATGGGATTCGACGCGAATGGAAAAGGAGGACTGGGGGGAGCTTAGGTCGCAAAGAGAATGGCAGTGAGACCGAGGATTGCGGGGTTGGGGGTGCTGAAGTGCACCCTAGGACTGGGGAGGCAAGAAAACTTGGACTCAGGGATGGTGAAGCGGTGGGTGATGTTGAGAGAGAGGATGCGGGGGCTGTGTGTCCGATGAACGGAGAACGGGCGAAATTGAATGCCGTTGAACCCGTTCAACGGGCCTGGGGACCCCCGTTAAATCGCGTTTAACACGAAAACGGGGGTGTTCCGTTCAGTTTTGAAAAACGGAACCGGCGCATTGGGCCTCGGACACCTGGCCCTACGCACCCAAACCATGTTCAGTTTTGAAAAACTAACAGGGTGGGGTGGCCAAACATGCCCCTCCCTCCTGAATTTCAAACTACAAAAGGGAAAAAAGTAGGGGCCACCCCATACCCCAAGACTGTGACCACATGTGTGTGCATGCGGGTGCATATCCTTTTTTGTTTTTCTTTTTTTTTCACAAATGCTCCAATCTACTCGTCCAGTCTCATTTCCGAAGGGCCCCTACAGATTAGCAAGGACCCCTCGTGGAGCAGAGAGCCTGAGAGAGGGACGTTAGACTTGAAGACTGCCTGGGTGGGCCGAGAATATATAGTCTGGATTCAAATTCATGTCTGTGGCACTCTGTGCAGCACAGTTATGGGTCACAAATTCTCTGTTTTCTCCTTCTTTTTTTTTTCTCGTTTTTCTTTTGTTTTTCCGTTTTTCATTTGTTTTTTGATTTTTCATCTGTTTTTTCTCGTTTTTCTTTTCTTAGGAATACGTGCAGTGGCCCTAAGGGCCTCTACTCACCTCATGCATAAAAGACAGAACATATGGTGGCGTATTATTCCACGTTCTAGCAGAAGATTCATTCTAATTTTGCACATTTGCAGTGGCCCTGAGGGCCTCTGCTCACCACATGCACAAAATACAAAGGCCTAGCTTTGTTGGTAAGGCACATAAGTTGCATTCAGGAGGTCGTGGGTTCAATCCCCATTGGCCTCACGATGTGCCTGGGCAAGCTTGGTGTTCTACCAGCTACAAATAACCCGTTGGCCCCCCAAGCC